ACCATCCTCCATACTGTCATCATGTTCTACAGCTATTGCAGCACAATCATGTGGCAGAGAAATAATGTTCATAAAATCACATTGTCAAATTCCCTAATAGGCGTTCCACCAAGTTCTGTTTTCACTAGGTTCATGTTTGTAAAGTACACCTCTTATAATGTCTGAATTAGCCAATGCATTCCTCCAGATAGATACAGAAATCAGCGATGGTTTGGAACTTGTCCTTGTCTTTGGAGCTTGTGCTGTTGTTCAGCTGGCACAGTTTCTTGCCATCTCCGTTTTTCTTGATGTTGAAGGAGCGACATCTGAGCTCCTGAAGGCAGGCCGAACCACAAGTGGTGACGCTGTCGATGTTAAACTCCCCAATGACGTGGTCAAGGAGGCAGGTTGAGTTGAGCATTGGGATGGGAGTGTTGCTGGAGAAGCAGTATTGACGGGGTTGGGTTGGGCGAGGAGTGCAGACAGCCTGACGGATACAAACGGCATCATGGGATTCACTACAGCTACCATCATCCATACTGTCATTATGTTTTGCAGCTATTGCTGCACAGTCTTGATTGTTATTCTTATTATTCGGCTGCCCAGAATTCCATGCCATGAACGGCTTGCTCCCTTCCTGGCCATCACACGTCCACTTTCCTTCAACTTTAATGTCATTGCAAGCAATCCAGACACGGTAGTTGCTGTCCTTCTGTCGTGCCAAATCTGTCACGAACTTCATTTCTTCAAGTGAATGAGGGGCAGCCATCATGCCTCCTAGGTTTTGACAAGATGACTTGCTACTGTTCCAGTCAGCCTTTGATTCAGTGAGGCGATAGCACGCTTTCTGCCACAGTCCCCACCCTGACGGACAGGAACAGTTCATGGCAGGCAGAGAGGGACAGAAGGCTGACCCCCATGCAGCATTGATCGCTGCAGTGATGGCTACAATGCCAACAACTTTGAGCAAGTACATGGCGAGTCTCGCGGCAGACGATTGGAAAATTTGTTTAGAAGTAGAATGATGTGTTGGCTACACGAGAGTGTTTTGATTGCAATGTGGAGGTCCAATGGTGACAAATGAAAATAGGAAATGACTATCACTACATGTAGAACACACACATTTTATGCTGCTTTGAATAATCATCAAAATAACAGACATGTACAAAAGATCCTGTTGCTATGGTCACTCAGTGTTTGGCGCTAATTCAGTTTGAGCATTCCAACTTGATGGTACATGGTACTGAGTCTCATTAAATGAGTCTCATTAAAAGATCCTGTTGCCATGGTCACTCAGTGTTTGGCGCTAATTCAGTTTGAGCATTCCAACTTGATGGTACATGGTACTGAGTCTCATTAAATGAGTCTCATTGAAAGATCCTGTTGCCATGGTCACTTAATATTTGTGCTCTCATTAGTACCGGTAACAAAGCCAGCTGTTGCTGTGGATTCTCGGTGTTGGCATCTCATTCAAGATACAAAGGAAATGATAATTGGTGCAAATTCTAACAAACGCAGCTCTTGTGAAATGGGAGAAATGGTTGTTGCCCTTCAATTCAAACTGACTACCGTTGATGATGATAATATTCACTGTGAACCACGGGTGTGATTATTTATTTAGTTTAGGTGTACGTCAGAAATTAATCTTCTTGCCTATTCAGCTGTATTTGATCGTTACGCTCCAGTAGAAAATAATACATGTACCTCCATAATGAAAGGTCTGCAAGGAAACCATGAACGCTGGTTGTGTTCGGTCACTGTGAATGGACCAAAGTGAGTTTGATTTAAGATCTCTAGTATAGTTTTGGCCAAGTCTGCCATCTTGAATCCTGGGACGACCACACACCCTGCATGCAGATCCTAGGTACTCAATTCTTTTTCAATTCATTTGACCTTAAAATCCAAGAAATGACAATGATGCTCACACAAAGAAGGACAAGAAAGGGTTTGAAACCGTATGTTCTGTAACTACAACACCAAGTTTTAATTCCAAAACAGATACTGACTTTTTGTTAAGGAAACAGAGCAAAGATCTTTCTTGGATGAACCCAAGGTGGAATCCTGTGAATGGAAATTGCATCTCAGTATGTGTAATGACGCGATATTCTGTAAAATAGGAAATATTTAAACCGAATTCTGCATTTGGCCAATTCAGAAGGTTCACACCCAAGATTGCAGCCAGAATAATTGTGATAAGAGCATTAGAAATGTCAAGACTTCAGGCTAAGGGATCAGATTTTAACCTCTACAAAAGGAGGGGGGCTACATGCAACAGCGAGGCTGTCCGACAAGAAACCTTGTTGCTTCCATTTGACATGACTATCAACACATCAGTGTGAGTTTCAGTCCAATCCAATGAGGTGTGGTATGACTGTAAATGTGATTTCTCAATCTCACGACAGTCCTGTCAGTGAANCTGGCACAGTTTCTTGCCATCTCCGTTTTTCTTGATATTGAAGGAGCGACATCTGAGCTCCTTAAGGCAGGCCGAACCACAAGTGGTGACGCTGTCGATGTTAAACTCCCCAATGACGTGGTCAAGGAGGCAGGTTGAGTTGAGCATTGGGATGGGAATGTTGCTGGAGAAGCAGTATTGACAGGGTTGGGTTGGGCGAGGAGTGCAGACAGGCTGACGGATACAAACGGCCTTACGGGATTTATTACAGCGAGCGTCATCCATACTGTCATCATTGTTTGCAGCTATTATAGCACAGTCTTGATTATCATCAGCATTATTCGGCTGCCCAGAATCCCATGCCATGAACGGCTTGCTTCCTTCCTGGCCGTCACACGTCCAGTTTCCTTCAACTTTAATGTCATTGCAAGCAATCCAGACGCTGTATTTGCTCTCCTTCTGTCGTGCCAAATCTGCCATGAACTTCATTTCTTCAAGTGAATGAGGGGCAGCCATCATGCCTTCTAGGTTTTGACAAGCTGACTTGCTGCTCTCCCAGTCAGCCTTTGATTCAGTGAGGCGATAGCACGCTTTCCTCCACAGTTGCCACCCTGACGGACAGGAACATTTCATGGTGGGCAGAGAGGGACAGAAGTCTGACCCCCATGCAGCATTGATGACTGCAGTGATGGCTACAATGCCAACAACTTTGAGCAAGTACATGGCGAGTCTCTCGGCAGACGATTGGAAAATTTGTTTAGATGTAGAATGATGTGTTGGCTACACCAGAGTGTTTTGATTGCAATGTGGAGGTCCAGTGGTGACAAATGAAAACAGGAAATGACTATCACTACATGTAGAACACACACATTTTATGCTGCTTTGAATAATCATCAAAATAACAGACATGTACAAAAGATCCTGTTGCTATGGTCACTCAGTGTTTGGCGCTAATTCAGTTTGAGCATTCCAACTTGATGGTACATGGTACTGAGTCTCATTAAATGAGTCTCATTAAAAGATCCTGTTGCCATGGTCACTAAATATTTGGGCTCTCATTAGTACCGGTAACAAAGCCAGCTGTTGTTGTGGATTCTCGGTGTTGGCATCTCATTCAAGATACAAAGGAAATGATAATTGGTGCAAATTCTAACAAACGCAGCTCTTGTGAAATGGGAGAAATGGATGTTGCCCTTCAATTCAAACTGACTACCGTTGATGATGATAATATTCACTGTGAACCGCAGGTGTGATTATTTATTTAGTTTACGTGTACGTCAGAAATTAATCTTCTTGCCTATTCAGCTGTATTTGATCGTTACGCTCCAGTAGAAAATAATACATGTACCTCCATAATGAAAGGTCTGCAAGGAAACCATGAATGCTGGTGGTGTTCAGTCACTGTGAATGGACCAAAGTGAGTTTGATTTAAGATCTCTAGTATAGTGTTATCCAAGTCTGTCATCTTGAATCCTGGGACGACCACACACCCTGCATGCAGATCCTAGGTACTCAATTCTTTTTCAAGTCACTTGACCTTAAAATCCAAGAAATGACAACGATGCTCACACATAGAAGAGACATGAAAGGGTTTGAAACCGTATGTTCTGTAACTACAACACCAAGTTTTAATTCCAAAACAGATACTGACTTTTTTAAGGAAACAGAGCAAAGATCTTTCTTGGATGAACCCAAGGTGGAATCCGGTGAAAGGAAATTGCATCTCAGTATGTGAAATGAATCGATATTCTGTAAAATAGGAAACATTTAAACCGAATTCTGCATTTGGCCAATTCCAAAGGTTGGAGCCAGAATAATTGTGAAAAGAACATTAGAAATGTCAAGACTTCAGGCTAAGGGATCAGATTTCAACCTCTACAAAAGGAGGGGGATTACATGCAACAGCGAGGCTGTCCGACAGGAAACCTTGTTGCTTCCATTCGACATGACTATCAACACATCAGTGTGAGTTTCAGTCCAATCCAGTGAGGTATGGTATG